TAGCCTTAAGCATTGTCATGTTTGAGAAATTGGAAGAAAAACTTCACTGAACACTTAAAAAAAAAAAAAGTTGATGCTAATTTGGTAACAAGAAAATTACAGTTTTAGAATATCTCCCTTAAAGTATTTGTAAGCATAGGAAGCTGCAGGTAGGCTCTACTCCTGTCAGTTCATGTGGGTGCTGTTCGGGGTTTGTTTGTTTTTTTTTTTCTTTAACTAAAAGGTCAGATGGATATGTTGTACTCTCCATTCTCTCTTTCCATTAGTCCTTTGGAGAGAGAGATTTGATTACATGTTTTATTAAAATAGTACAAGTAAGTATCAATTGATATGGAAACTTACATTAGGTCAGAGTTAATGATTTAAAAAGGCACCTTGCAGTTACATTACAGGGAAAGAAATTGAAAGCAGATGTGTTACCTGGTCCTTAAGTAAAAACTGACAAAATTTTGATCCCTTGGGTCACACAGATCTGTTATTTTACTGCCTCTGGGAAAAAAAAAGTTTGTTACTTTGTCAGTGTGTGTCTGTAATAGCAGAGTAAGCAAACCCGGGCATCTTACTCGGCTACCACATGGTAGGAGCCAAAGTTTTGGCCAGATTTGAACAATCATACAGAATTTTAGAAAATTACCAGAGATTCTGAACTTTGTCTTTAAACTTTTCTGCAAGTTACCTGATTTGTCTTCACGAAAGGCAAATCGCCTTAACCACCTTCTTAATCAAAAACCCTTGCTAAAGAAGGGCTGGAGGAAGGCCAAGCACTGTGCCTTCTTGGGCAAGGGAGTCCCAACTCTGTCTCGCTTTGCTTGGGAGGTTCTGGCCCTCCTGCTGTTGTGCTGCTGCCTGTGGATGATCTTTGAGGAGAAGAGGGTCAGGTAGGGCAAAGTCATGTTTAAGTCTCTGGGTAGCACATGTCTGGAAAAAAACCCCCAGAACTAACAACAACAACAACAACAAAAATCAAATCCAAAACAACTGTCCCCTCCTACAGAGCTTCATTCAGAAAATACTTTATCCTTCTACGTACTTTGGGAGAATTAGGAAATTAATTTTTAAGTCATTTGTGTCTTCACTCTTGGGTATGTAAAAAATAAGAGTGTAAGACTGTAATAGAGTACTGTTTTGTTAGTCTCCTAGTAGCTTAGAAAGAGGATGGAAATAGAGATCTATTTATTTTTACTTGGTTTCCCCAACAGCCTCCATTTTCTAAGATGTCATCATCCTTATCTCTTTTGCATGTCTCTGCTGCTTGTAATTTCCCCAAGCAACAGAAGCAGCAGAACAAACTTGGTGTGGGTTTTTCTTTTTTCTTTTTTATTTTTTTTTTTTTGACAATTTCATCATTTCACAAAGTCACTGTATTACAGGAGTGACAGTGGCTAATCAGTGTCACTCTCTTCCCTTGTTAGAGCTGTAGATAGCATCTAAGGCATTCAAGGTGACTGTAGGCTTAGGGAAATTTTTTTTAACTAGTTCACCTTCAGGTAAGAAGGCAGGTTCTTTACAACCACAGAAGTCATCTTTTTTTTTTCTTTTTTTTTTTTTTTTTTTTTCCACGAAACACATGAATTTGAATTTTGCATAACTCCCCCCCGGCCAAGGTTTTCTAGAGAAAGCTTTTTGGCTATCACTGGTGAGTGACTGATTGGATTCTGCAGAAGTTGACATCTTTGCTCTGATTCTCTGTAGTTCTTGTCAGCTTTTTGGAGAGCTGTCAGCTTGAGATCTGGGCTGTTTGGAACGTAGCTGTGAAATTGTTTCAGGTGTACAATTTCATTTTGATTTCCCTGGCAATTGGTGGTTTTACACCTGCATGGGGAAGATAAAAAAATCTACAACATGTGCGGTAGAAGAAAGCAGCTTACTGCACCATACTTCACAGATAAACTCTGCTGACATATGGTTTTGTCAAAAGCATAGTGTCAACTGAAAAAAGTGCATCTATTTTTGTTAATGATATGTTACCTGTAACAACAACAGCTGAATGAATTTTACTTGAAAGTTTGTGTTCTTTAATATAAAAAATATTGCACTGTATTTGCCAGACTTGCTTCTTCAGGAACAGCTTTACGTAAAAAAAGTTTTCTTTGTGATGGGAAATAATAAAAATGTCATTTTTTTTTAATGTTGTTTTTCTAGAAGGCATTTGTATCACCTAATTGAATTGAGAATATTTGCCACTTGTTGAGGTACGGCATTTAGTTTAAAAAAAAAAAATATTGGATTGACCAATTATCGAAGTTAAGTTGCCAAGAAGTTTATGTACTTGTAGTATATGTTGATTGAGCAGAAGTTGTTAAGGCATTGGTATAAGCACGGTGTCTTCTCACTTTTAGCTTTTTCTTGTGTATTTACAGTTTTTCCAGGTTACAGTGTGCTTTGTGTTCTGCTCTTATACTTGCTTGATAATAATAAAGGACTAACTACCATAGCCATTGGCTATTATGTCGGTATGTAAGGTCTTTGTATTGTATCATCTCCCCATACCGGGTTTTTAAATCTGTTGGACTTTGGGACTTTACTTATTAATTCTTGAGGTACTTTAGATTCTTTTATGGTTTCAGTAATTCCTTGTCTCTTCATAGGACCCCAGCTGAATGCACAACTAGAAGGTTGGCTTTCTCAAGTACAGTCCACAAAAAGACCTGCTAGAGCCATTATTGCACCGTAAGTTTGAACTCTGGTTTTAGTATGTATAATACTTGATTGGTTAAGTGCTGTGTTATTTTGAGTGATTTTGAAAACTGGTAAAAGCTAGTATTTAGCTGAAAGGAATGTTGTGTGGTTTCTAAGTAAGTATTTTGGATATGACATAGAATGGAAGAAATTTGTGCACATTTTGGTATATGATGAGTTTCCTTTTGCTGATGCACTGCAGACATAGCGTTCACTTGTAATCATAGAATGGTTTGGGTTGGAAGGGACTTAAAGATCATCTAGTTCCAATCCCTCTGCCATGGGCAGGGATGAGTAAGATCCAGTAAGACAGATAAGAGCTGTATTAGTGGAGTGGTAGTCTAGGTGACAGCTCTTTCAATATGCTTCTAGTATAGAACAGCTACACCTATTTAAAAGAAAAAAAAAAAACCACAAAAAAAACCTCTTCAGCATGCCACCCCAAATCAGAACTTAGCAAAGCTTAATCCAAAAAGTAATGGAACTATTCAGCTATCCAAAATGGTTTACTTTTTGTTATTTTAGTTTGGTTTTGGTTTTTTTTTTTTTTTTCTGCAGCGGGAATAGGGATCTTTTAAACTATTTAGGTAGAATTCAATTTCCTGAAGATGGTTGAGACACATAATAAGAGAAGTATGTTGGTCATTCCAATTTATTATGATTTGGAAAGAAACACTAGCAAAAGCACCTCAAATGTGATGGTTTTCCTGTGCTAACATAGCATTGACATAACGTTTGAAGTATTCCATAATAGTACTGAATGTGCAGAAGAAAATGTCCCAAATCTGCCTGAGTCTTTCTTGCAGGAATGTCAGGAAAGAGGCCTTTCAGCTGCAGATTAGATAACCTGGATTCTTTTTCCAGAACTGCTGGAGGTCTTCCTGTGGTCTCACCAAATTGTTTAATTAACAATACCTAACAGTGCCTTTGATTTCCCACCTGTAAAGTGGGATATGGCTAATAATTTTTTTGTGAAAGACTGAAATAGCCTGTAGCAGAGGGAACCTTTCAGAAGGCTCATTTGACATTGTCAAATAACATACCTGGCTGGGTCACTAGGTCTCAGTCTCCTGTTTGTCCCCTTAGTGTGTATGTTAGTACCTTTCTGAGCTCTTTAGAATGAGTGAGGTAAGTGATGCTGAAGTAAAACCCCAGGGTAATTTTGAGGATAACTCGCTCCAGGTATTGCTCTGTGGATTACATGCATGCGAGCGTACATATATATATAATTACATATAAAATTCTTCAGTGCTGTCAATGGGGAACTTGTATCTTCAAATGTCCTGTACGTCCCAGGACTCGCAGCACAGATCATTCTCAGTATCACTGTATAAAAAGACCATCTGGAAAGCTGTAGTTGTGTTGTTGCACATACTTGACTCAAAATAAATGATAACTATTGACCCAGGGTCACAGCCACTCCGGATGAGCTCCAGAGGCAATGTGGCCCAAGCGCTGTGCCGTGTGGGCATGGCCTTCTGCTGTGGACGTGCTGCTGAGTGACCATGAGCTGTTCTCCACCACTTGGCCTGGGACCCTGGGGAATGGACGTTCTCTGGAATTAACACTTTTAGTGGTGTAAACTGAATCTTCTCCTGTTTTTAACAGGCTTGAAGGGAATGGGTCTTAAGATTTTGATATTTGAAACAAGTAGTCAGAGTAATTATGGATGTTTTTGGAACAAACAGAAACACAGACAGAGAAAGACTCCAGACCAGAGCGATAGGAAATGATAAAGCATGTGTCACATTCTCCATGGTAAAAACTGACATGCCGTGTTCCACTCCTTTCCTTGTGCCCACTCGTTCTGTTTCTGAGGTATTCTTCTTCAATGACAGAGTGGTTTTATTCTCTGTTTATCTGCTGTAAGGTGTAGTCTCTCTTTGCCAGACCCCTCTACTGTCATCATATTCAGTTACTGGAGTGTGGTTAGAAGAGCTTTCTTTGGCATCTTGCTATTCCCTTGTCCCCTGGCTGCACTCTTAGCATCATCATGAGCTTCTGATAATATGCAGTTTTCTAGTCTGCCTATTAGTATCTTTTACACGTAACGAAAGGTGCTTTGATCTGGAGGCTTATTTACTAACTTTCAAGTAAATAGTTGCTGATAGTTCTTTAACAAATATGTCTTTTGTATGTTCAGTACTGCAATAGTACTCTCCAGCTCTTTCAGGAGTTGATATTTGGATCACTTTTACTATTTCTAGCTCATTGGGGACAATTAGTATTTAAGATATTAACATTTAATAACAATATCAACATATTTAAGGTGTTAAATGGTATTTAACATGTTAACATTTTGTACACCTTGATTTGCAGCCATGCAGGATATACCTATTGTGGATCTTGTGCAGCCCATGCTTACAAACAAGTGGATCCTAATATTACGTAAGTATTCAAGTTTTTCTTTACAAAGTGTAGGACAATGCCATTGCAATTCTATGAGAAGCTGAATGTTCTTTTTATATTCTCACACCTTGAAGTACTCAAATTTTAATTTTGTACTCTTTTTAGTCTTTTTTTTGCATACCTTGTTTTCACATCATAAATGTTCAAATTGGATGTTACAAAATCAAAAATTAATGTTGTATTGTTGAAATTGAAAATGTAAAGCAGTATTTTCGAAAATTGATAATTATTGGTAACTAAATTTTTTAGAAGGGGGGGGTTAAAGTTGGTTTGCGTGGGTTTTTTTTGTTTTTTTTTTTCAGGTAACATTTAATTTACTTTATTGCTTGATGTTCCAGTGCTTTTATAAAAGCCCAAGCTGTTTGGTTTTGGGGTTTTTTTAATGGTGTTTTTGTTTCTTTTTTGTTGGGAGCTTTTGTTTGTTTTTTAAGTTTATTAAAATATTTTATCATGATTCTGCATTGGTTTTTCAGTGCAGGATTATGGGCTGAATGCTACCAGGATTCTCTTCTGCTGTGGAGAAAGTGACCAGTGTGTGTATATAATATCTGAAGTCAGTGAAAGTTACTTGTAATAATTTGAAATGGACTTGTGTTTCAAAGAGCACAACACTTTAAAAAAAGAAAGATTAAAAAAAAACCCCACGCTACTGTAGTCTGTGCCTGCCTTTGAAATATGAATCCAGTTATTCTAGGTTAAAGGGATATAGTTCTTATGTGTTCTGCTGACTGCAGTGTTTTTTTTTTAAATGACACAAATTTAAAACATCTCTAGTATTTAGTTAAAGTATGCAGTTTGCAATGTTAATATAAAAACTGCCTGTCTGTCAGTTGCTTATGAGATAACATGTTGTAATGCTCTCCAAAGACAATGGTTTTGATTCTTTTTAAACTATTGTAAACAAAGTGAAGCTAACTTACAGTGTGACAGATAACTAGTTTCTCTAAAACTTCTAGAACAAGTTGCATTCCCTGGGTTCAGTGATATGGAGTTGATTGAACTTTCTGGATCATTTGCTGTTTTACCACATGGGATGTTTAGAATTCATCTTTCAGCTGAAGTATTGCACGTTTGGGTATTTTGTTTTTATGAACTCTGTAAAAAGTTTAAATATTTTAGTATAGCTTGCTATAGCGCTCCGCATGTAAGGAAAAAACAAAGTCTTTACATGTCTCCTACCCCTTTAGTTCAGATCCTGAATCTGAAAAGCTGAATTTCCTATAGTTTTTTTGTTTGTTTGTTTGTTTCCTTTAAGTCCTGTGGCAGGAGACCCTTAACATCTAATCAAGAGCCAAGAACTGAGGACTTGATGAAATAACATCATGATGACATGTGAAAGCTTGCAGTATCAGCTAAAGCTACAAGTGTGCAGGTCCAAGTCCCTGTTGTTGATGCAACAGGTGGATAAAACCAGCATTTGAGAATGACTTAAATTTGAATTTGGTGAAATCTGAAGTAAGGCTAATCAAGTAAATAAGCGAAAAGCTCTGAATAAATGATAAATCCATAATCCTGATTTGAGGGCACAGCCTGTGGTTGTTGAAAGTGGTGTGCCAACTGAAGGTTGTGTTGTTCTAAGGAGGGAATCCAAAAATCTCTTCTGAGGGGCTATAACACATCATTCAGTCTCCAAATGAATGCAGTTGGACAGATTACTAGCTGATGAGTGCCATCTGATATATAACCTGCTGAAGAGGTTTATGGCTACAGGAAACATTATTGAACTGATCTCATGATCATTTGTGAGATACCAAGCAAGGCTAGGCCATGGGTTGAGCTGTGGTCTTACGTGCAGCAGAGTAAAACTCTATTGGTAACCACCAGAAAGCATCACTTTGTACGTTTTTATTAAACTTGTTACTCTAAACCAAGTCTCTGTACAATTGCAGTTGTCTAAATTGTGGGCTTTTGTGTTAATTGTTGTAGCCGAAAAATTTTCATTCTTGGGCCTTCCCATCATGTGCCCCTTTCCCGATGTGCACTTTCCAGTGTGGACATTTATAGAACACCTCTGTATGATCTCCGAATTGACCAAAAGAGTAAGTGCATGATAAAGCTTCCATCTTGAAGATTTCTGAGGCTTGAGTATTAACTGTGGTATTGCAGTGCTGAGGATGCTCTTGTTCTTGGGCACTTCACTGCTTTTAAGTGGCATACAAGTATAAATCTGTTCTACTGCAACGAAAACTAACTTCTGAAAGATCCTGGTGGGTGCAGGTGTTGCTGTATTAAAACGTTAAAGTCTCTCTTGCTCCTGCAAGTAAAGAATTCTCAACATTTGCTTATCTTTTCCATTATGAGTGTGTGCCTCTTGACAAGTGATCTTTAAAAGGGATCTCAAAATGAAAAAGTGTTACGTTTGAATAATAGCCTACTGCACACCTGCTGTATTATTCTGTGAAGTATTCTGTCTGCAGAAAAAGATAGTGCTTTAGTTGTTTGAGTTTATTTCTGGTAGAGGAATAATAGAGGAACAGAAAGCTGCTTTTTGTTGGGTGCATTATTGCATGTGACAATTTTAACTGGCAGAGTGCCTACAGAACTTAAAAACTGTTAGTGCATGAAATACCAGTCTCTCAGACTAAACTTAAATGTGCGGTGAAAATAAATTTGATACTTAGACTTTCATGTGTTTTGAGGTATACCTAAATAATACAATATCTTTTTCAGAAGGGCTAATTAGCGCAGATGTATTGCACTTTCCTCATGACTGTGATTAAGCAAGCTAATTCAGCCTTTCTACATAGTGCCTGCAGAAATTTCTGTACGTAACAAATGTTTCAGTTTCTGTAGAACTCCTTTATGGAGTGGAGAAGGAGGCACAGCCCTACATCAAATTCTCCATCCAGTGGAGAGTTTTCAAAATGTAGAGATGACTCTACATACCACCAAGTGCATTTGAGAGTAGCAAAGATAACTTACAAATGTGGATTACTTAATCAGTTTTCAATGTCTCTGGACTTCATGATTCAGTTAACAATAAATTGTATTAAATAGTAATGCATCCAGCAATGACTCGGCTGATCAGCAATTTTTATTTTTTTTTTAACATATGTTGGTGTAGCTTGTGAAAATGAATTTGATGACTGGGCAAATGCATGCATATTTTCAAATGTGATTTATTTGTGTTAAATTTTTATCATAACTGAAAATCTTTCTCAATATACTAACAAGGTCACTGATTTAACACACGTATTTTGTAAACTCACTCCATTATGTTTGTATATTAATGACTTGAGCATAATTTTAATCCTGAATTTATTTAAAAACAAGTGGTTTATGATGACAGCCCTTGAAGGCAAGTAATTTGTTTATAGTGGGCTTGTTCTGATAAAGATGCACTGTAGCTTGCTCACAGTGTTGGTTTGTTGTTTTTTTTTAAAAAAAGTGGTAAAAATTAATGTTTAATTCATTTCAGTTTATGGAGAATTGTGGAAGACTGGAATGTTTGAGCGTATGTCCCTACAGACAGATGAAGATGAACACAGTATTGAAATGCATTTGCCTTATACTGCTAAAGCCATGGAAAGGTACTAGGGCTAATTACTTCTACAAGAATGACCATTATGTGCATTAAATGTTTGAACTACATGTGAAGTGCAGTAGGAAGTAATAATGCCCTTTATGGGATATGATACCCTATATAGTGTAAAATACTTACACTCCCTCACCCCTCAATAAAAAATTGAGGGAGGAGAGGGTCCGAGACTAGGATTAGTTGCTGTAATAGAAACTGAGCAGAGCAAACACCTGAATGATGAAATTGGAACACCCCTTATAAACAAGTTTGTATGTTTATTTTGACTTAATAGAGTTAATATTAGACATGCTTTCATGAATCTTTTTCAATAGCTGATATTTTTTTTTCGTTTTTGCAAGGTATCTCTGAAAGAAGTTCAAATACTAATAAGTGTTTTCTGTGGGATTTTATGTTTGTTTGGAGCCTTAATACTAATTTTGAAATCAGGGTTCTGTTTACACCTGCAATTTCAGATGAGTACTTCAAATATTTTTTTTTCTTTAAAGTTGATAAGTTTTGTCAATTTGTGGTGGGTTTTCCCCACATCTTTTTTTTTTTTTTTTTTAACTTTTCTTCCATAGTATTTGTAATTTTCCCTGGAGTATCAGTATACATCTGGGCACTCTCTGGAGCATTTTCATATGCATTGTAAAATTACCCAACATTTGTGCAGCATCTATAGAGGGAGAATTTCATTCTTTCTTTATTGCTGGTTTCATTGTGGTTTTTCTTTTTGTTTGCCTGGTGTTTTCACTTTGCAGCAAAGATAAATAGTGGTTTTGGGGGGGGGGGAATTTGTTTTCTGAAATTTAAGTAGTTTCAGGTTCTAAAACAACTTTCTAGTATCACCTAACCAAATTAACTGTATCTTCGATTCAATAGTGCCCTTTTAAAACATTCTACAATTTCAGTTAGCAAGCCCTGAGAAAACTTCAGATGTTACTTGAATTACAACCTCTTTTCTTTTGCTTATAAGCCATAAGGATGAGTTTACTATTATTCCTGTATTGGTCGGAGCACTGAGTGAGTCAAAAGAGCAGGAATTTGGAAAACTCTTCAGTAAATACCTAGCTGATCCTAGTAACCTCTTTGTGGTTTCTTCAGACTTTTGCCATTGGGGTAAGTTTCACATCTCTTCATTATAACAGTATGATGAATATTTTGTAGTGATTTTCAATTAATGTGTTTTAGTAAATATTGAACATTTTAACTTCTGGTAAATGTATCTTTGAAACTTAAATGCCTTTGTAAAGCTAAAAGAGGATTTTTCTTTTTTGAATCTGGAACAATAAATGAAAAATCTTAATGCATTAATGTGTTTTCAGTGTAGTGGAGGAAATAAGTGGTGAAGGTGTATGGGTTTATATGCATCTCTTTACTGTTACAATGAAATAAGTGTCTGAAGTTTCTTGCTCTTTTTACTCTACTTTTAAGCACCTCAAAGCAACTTGCAAAACTAATTAGCTAAAAATTCACTGGACATGGCAACATCCCTCTGACGGAAATAAGTTTTGTGCATTTTACTGCTGGGTAAGATAGCAGATGGAGTACTTATGCCAATTCACCAGAGCTATACCAGTTCATCTTGGTGGCAGAGCTATAAAGACTGCAGAAGCCTAGACTTCTGTCCTGCTTTAACACTTTATTTTTCTTTTAAGTGTGACAATAACTGGAAAAGGAACTGCTTCAGAAATATATGTTTTATGTTGCACAACAGACCTTCTTCCCTTTTTTCATTGTCATCTTTGGTGAACTTACGTAATAAAGTGCATATATTGCTCATCTTTGAATTGTGGAGTAGGTGGAGGTATATGGATGACCTGGGTTCTGTTGTGGCTAAAGAACCATCTAGAACTGTTCACTGAATTTATCATGAACTTTTTCTTTTAACCTTCGTTTACTGTGGGTATTATGCAAGCAGAAGTAGCCTGACTCCAGGGTTGACTTTGTTAAGAGGGATAGTGAAATGAAATGTTGCTTTACTTTTTAATTTATAGAATTGGATTCCAAGGCAATAACAGGCAATTAATAAGTGACACTGCAGTGGCAGTTCTACGCAGTAGGTTTTTCTTTAGGAATATAGCTGCCCGTCATGTATTTTTTACTTTGCTTCTGGGCTGCAACTTTGCCCTAGAATTTCCTCAGTGGAGCTAAAAAGTATAAAATAAATGAAGATTATAACTTTACAAATATTATAATTTCAGTTATTTAGTAAGTACTAGGGAGTGTTTTAGCTACGATTTTTCCCTTTTTTATTTTATACATGATTTTTGTTTCAAGGTCAGAGGTTCCGTTACAGTTACTATGATGAATCCCAAGGAGAAATTTATAGATCCATTGAGCACCTAGATAAAATGGTAAGTTTTCAGATTTGGTGGAACTAACTAACAAATTTCTCCTGTACATTACATTTCTTTGAACACTTCAGAAATTTCTCTAACAAAATATTATAGATTAGCTATTTTATTGAATGTGTACTTTTCCTTTGTTTACCACAATAAGAATTTAGCTGTTGTTTTTAGCTAGTATCCTCCATTTTATTGACTGCTCACAATATATTGCGGGTATAATCTAGTAAGCATAATTTATGAGAATAAATGCATGTTCGCCTACTTAAAATGCCCTAGTGTAATGTAATTCCTGTCCACATACCCTCTTATGTTTCCAAGAGTAAGAATTATGAATCGAGTATTGTGGGTAGTTCAGGCTTGATAGCTATGATACCTGCATATTGAAAAAGCATTGTGATTATGCAAATGGTTTGAGCAACATCCATTTTGAGGAGGAAAGGCTGTAGGGGATTGTTCTGGTCAGGAAAACAAAAGCCACCTTTCTCTTGGGAGTAGTCTTCCCCTCCCCACCCTTTATTCTGTAGTATAAGTGGTGGGGGAAAGCAGTAAACCATACTTCATTCTGGGTTTGGCGAACAGCTGAAAGGAATGCTAAATACATGAAGATCATCACGCCAATGATGCATTTTCTTTGCAGTCACAGGAGCCAAGGATTTCTTTTTAAATGCAAAAGTTGCGTTAACATTCAAGACTATACTTAAGGCACAGAATAAAAGTAGTTCTTCTGGAAATACCTAACCTTAAAATTTGTTTTAGAACTGTTTGGATCATTTATGCAACTTCTGTAAAATCTGTTAGAAGAGAGAATGGTTGTTATTGAGGGCATGTTAATTTTTTTTCCTTGTCTTGAAGGAATAAATCCTATCTGCTGGAGGGTTCTTTGGGTTTTTTTGCTTTGTGTATCCATATTAACCTCTTTGTTTTTCCACTATTCACCGCTGGAATGGAAACAGTAAATAACTTGCCTTCGTTCTGTTTATCCCATTTTTAATAATTGTTGTCAGTTGAGAGGTTTCTCTGTAAAGACAAGTGTTTTTCTAGAGAGTCACAGAATCTGCAGCTCTGGTTTTTGCAGGTTTTAGCAAACGTTTGTTTCCCCTTGTTAATTTCTGTGGTGAAAGCTTGTAGAAAGACTGGACTTTGGCATTTAATTACTTTAGTGAACACATTGCTGCACCAACTCTTTTGGTAGTTTTTCAGCCAAAAGGACATCACCTTTTTTGTAACACTGAAAATGATGTCTACTGTTTAATAACTACAGAAATACTTTTTCAATCTTAAGTTTAACTGGAAAACTAAACAGGCTGTGTTGCAGTATACTGTGGTTAGTTTTTTACTTGTTTATATTGTGCCATAGGTGAACACATGACTCGGTATTCAAACTCTGTACAGAGTAGGTTTTGCTTTTGGTGAATTTCAGAAATTTCTTTTTAGCACTACTGTGGGTACACTTGGGACGCTATCCACAATGCCACAGAGATCTCCCTGTCATGTTTCTCCAGCTTTTGAAAGGATTTTATTCAATTTTGTATGCCCTGCTTGGCTACTTCTTGTTTCTTTAAATAAGTATTGAATTTCTTAATGTCATTTGGCATGCTAAAGAAACTTGTATTGTTATGAACACTAGGCCTCTCCACAGAGAAAAAGGCGTTAAGATAGAGACAAAACTTTACTAAAACCATCAGAGGTTTTAACCTCTGCTACTACTGGCCTAATAATTTTATTGGACCTAACTAGGAAGGCAGTCGGCTGAGCACTTTGTAAGCAGGAAGATATTCTGGGTTAAGATTAAATTACTTTTCCTTAGAAATGCCTTATGGGAGGACAATGGTCTCTTCCTTATTTAAACTGCACTTTAGGGACAGATGCATGGTGATTTTCCTGGCTTGTGCATAAACAACGCTCAATGCTTTGGGCATTGAAGATTTACTAACCTGGTAACCGCTGTGAGAAATGTTATTTGCTGTGATTTTAAGTTAGAGCACTTAGACTGCAGCATAAAAAAACCCCAAACAGAGTAGTAAATATTGTTGGGCAGACATGGATTTCTCCATGGTAACTCTTAATGTGACCGCTCTGTTACCCTGGGGGTACCACAGTGCACCTTGCGAAGTGACGGTGAAAGGAGTAAACGGCCCCATGGTTAATAGGGGAACCTTAGAGAAGAATCCTCAAATGAAGAGAGATAATTGAGCAGCTGATGTGCAGTAATTTGTTTGTGTATCATAACCTGATACCTACCATCTTTTTAATTAAAAGTGGGGGAGCATTCTGTAAGAGCAATTACTTTTTTTATTATGGGTGGCCAGAAGACACAAACTGCTGGCTTCAGTCTTCAATCTCAGATTTTTCATTTTATATCTATTTGTGAAACCTTATGCCTCACTTGAGTCACTAGGAGGATTCTGTTACCCTGAATGCTGAAGGGGGAGGATAGTGCAGGCACTGAGGAGAGCTGTGCAGGAGCTGTGTACAGCATGGGTGGCTTCTCATGTGGCTCTAATAAACTGCTTAATTCTGGTGGCTTCTGCAGTGCTGTTACAGTGCACCAGCACCTTCCACAGTGCTCCAACCTGGAAAGGCTTCTTAGTTTGGGCATAAGAAGCATAAGAGGAGGGCCATGAGGATGATCAGAGGGGGACTGGAGACCCTCTCCTATGAAGACAGGCTGAGAGAGCTGGGGTTGTTCAGCCTGGAGAAAAGAAGGCTCTGGGGAGACCTTATAGCAGCCCTCCAGTATCTGGAGGGGGCCTACAGGAAAGCTGGGGAGGGACTTTTAAGAAGGGCATGTAGTGATAGCATGAGGGGTAATGGCTTCAAACTGGAAGAGGGGAGATTCATGCTAAAGAAACTTGTATTGTTATGAACACTAGGCCTCTCCACAGAGAAAAAGGCGTTAAGATAGAGACAAAACTTTACTAAAACCATCAGAGGTTTTAACCTCTGCTACTACTGGCCTAATAATTTTATTGGACCTAACTAGGAAGGCAGTCGGCTGAGCACTTTGTAAGCAGGAAGATATTCTGGGTTAAGATTAAATTACTTTTCCTTAGAAATGCCTTATGGGAGGACAATGGTCTCTTCCTTATTTAAACTGCACTTTAGGGACAGATGCATGGTGATTTTCCTGGCTTGTGCATAAACAACGCTCAATGCTTTGGGCATTGAAGATTTACTAACCTGGTAACCGCTGTGAGAAATGTTATTTGCTGTGATTTTAAGTTAGAGCACTTAGACTGCAGCATAAAAAAACCCCAAACAGAGTAGTAAATATTGTTGGGCAGACATGGATTTCTCCATGGTAACTCTTAATGTGACCGCTCTGTTACCCTGGGGGTACCACAGTGCACCTTGCGAAGTGACGGTGAAAGGAGTAAACGGCCCCATGGTTAATAGGGGAACCTTAGAGAAGAATCCTCAAATGAAGAGAGATAATTGAGCAGCTGATGTGCAATAATTTTTTGTGTATCATAACCTGATACCTACCATCTTTTTAATTAAAAGTGGGGGAGCATTCTGTAAGAGCAATTACTTTTTTTATTATGGGTGGCCAGAAGACACAAACTGCTGGCTTCAGTCTTCAATCTCAGATTTTTCATTTTATATCTATTTGTGAAACCTTATGCCTCACTTGAGTCACTAGGAGGATTCTGTTACCCTGAATGCTGAAGGGGGAGGATAGTGCAGGCACTGAGGAGAGCTGTGCAGGAGCTGTGTACAGCATGGGTGGCTTCTCATGTGGCTCTAATAAACTGCTTAATTCTGGTGGCTTCTGCAGTGCTGTTACAGTGCACCAGCACCTTCCACAGTGCTCCAACCTGGAAAGGCTTCTTAGTTTGGGCATAAGAAGCATAAGAGGAGGGCCATGAGGATGATCAGAGGGGGACTGGAGCCCCTCTCCTATGAAGACAGGCTGAGAGAGCTGGGGTTCTTCAGCCTGGAGAAAAGAAGGCTCTGGGGAGACCTTATAGCAGCCCTCCAGTATCTGGAGGGGGCCTACAGGAAAGCTGGGGAGCAACTTTTAAGAAGGGCATGTAGTGATAGTATGAGGGGTAATGGCTTCAAACTGGAAGAGGGGAGATTGAGATATTAGGAAAAAATTTCTCACTCTGAGGGAGGTGAGACACTGGAACAGGTTGCCCAGAGAAGTTGTGGATGCCCCATCCCTGGAGGTGTTCAAGGCCAGGCTGGATGGGGCTTTGAGCAACCTGGTCTAGTGGGAGGTGTCCCTGCCCGTGGCAGGGGGGTTGGAACTAGATGACCTTTAAGGTCCTTTCCAACCTAAACCATTCTATGGTAATGCAAGACCATGCCTCTCTGCCTGGGTGCTCAGCTTGCCACTTGCTCTGCTGTGCCCAGCCAGTAATTTTCCTGTTTGTTGTTTATCTTCTAGTCTGAGTGACTCACATATGCAAAGACAGTTGGACTGGCTAGTGCTAAGAGTTTGTTTCTGCTTCTGTAAGTGTGCTACTAGTTTATATTTTAAGTGTGGAGAAGCAGCTGAAGTAACTGATTGCAAACTTAGACTTGACCAGCCAAAAGGTTATTGGACTATAATATAAAATAAGCCAGTGAGGGGTGTGTTTTGTTTTGTTGTTTGGTTTTTTTTTTATTATTTTTTTTGTAAGCTTGTAGATGCGTGATCCTTTAGGGGATGATACTTAAGAACGTAACTGCTTTTAGTCATATTAAGTGCACTGTGCTAGGGTATTATAGATGCCATTTATGGTGTCTGGTTAATATGCAATTTCTATGTGGTGCCATAATAACCATGTGATAAACTGCAGAACTGTGTGATGGTTTGCATTTTTATCATGTGGGTTTTGTTGTGTATTTTAACTCTGTTCTACACCATGCCCGACTGAGTTATTTTGAATACAGAAAGTTATTAGCTTCATACTTCTGCTTTTTGGAAAAATAAAACGCAACCTGACAAAAATGTTTCCTTTGCTCAACACCATTTTAGACTGAGAATCAAGCTTGGTAGTCTTTGCTCCTCTGCCACAACAATTTTTAAAAAAGATTTAAAAGATTGAAAAGTTCAGTACAGCTGAATGCTTATAGGATAATACCGGTTTCCTATGGATTTTCTCCAATCTGTGATGTATGGAGCTCTGTTAGTATTTGCTGGGATGAACTGCATAGCTCTAAATGTTTTGCAGTGCTGAACTGTGCATCAAAATAAGCTTACTAGGCATTCTGATAAATCCATGTCCGTTCATTTGAGACAAATGCTCAAATGCCTCTGCCCAGTATGTTCCAGTGACTTACAGCTATAAAATAAGACTCTCAATTGAGCAGCCATTTTCTTTTTTAAGAAAATCATGAAAGGGTTTACAAATGGGTAAAACTTTTTCTTACGAGCTGTTCAGTATCTGTATAAGTGCCTTATGCATGTTTAGTTTCACTTGAATATACAGTGAAGTTTGGTTCTGCTTTCTTTAGCTGTTTATTAACATGTACAATTTACAAGTAAATGAATGGTTCAAAGACATGCTGCTTAAACTTTAGAAATGCAATGGTATCTTTGTATAATCACTTCTAGTTAGAGAATAGCTACCTTTATTTTTTTTTGGCACATATTTAGGTTCTGTAGGTCTGGAGTGACTAACAGCTGTAATTACAGGCCAGGGGTCCAACCACCCTCTCCATGACCCTGGAAGAACTGAGCTCTTGCCAGCAATTGGTCAGCATAGTTTGGTTTTATTTTTCTGTAAAATTTATCTCTTTATGAATTCATCTTATGTCTGTTTTTAATTAAAAGTACACAAAGGTGGTGGTTATGGTTGCTGTTTGCTAATCATCCCTGACTCTCCTGGGAATCTCCAGCTCCTCCACTGTAAGCTGTGATCCAGTCTGAATAATTAGCGTATCTGCCAGATCAGCCAACGCCCTTGCAGAGTAGTCAAGAGGTTTCACTCTTGAGGTAGAGACTTCAGACAGACTGACTGCTTCCTGCATCGTGATTTCTCCTTATATCACCCACACTTTCCCAAAAGCAGTGGAAAGGGATAGGAGAATTGCAGAAACCTTAGGAGAAATTCTCTTCCTTTCTGATATCAACCTCCCATTGTTCCCATGCAAAGTGCATGGGTTTTTTTCTAGTCTCTAAGGAAAACATTCCTGTTTCATTAGCTACATGAAGCACAGCTATGTGTCTTACTGAATTAGTGAGTGTCTGGAGCTCATTTACCTGGTGAAGGGAATTAATCATTTTCAGAGGAGGGAAGAACGCAAGAGGATGGACTCTAATGCAGGCAAATAGCAAAGCCATGATAAAACTCTGACAATAATTGATTTAGACTTGCTTTAAACTACTTTCATTGTATTTGATCTGCTCTGTGCGATGGGGTACGAGTAGGCCATATCTGGAGTTGTAGGATTCTTTTTGCTTTTAAGAATGCAAATGTTTGTATATGTGGAAGGCTTTGGTTTCCATGTATGTGCTGGTTTTCATAGTATGACTCCATGGGATCATAGGTCTCACTGTGGATGGAGAAAAGGATGTATATATGTGACTGCCTCATATGAAGTGGAGGCATCATCTCCTGGCTCTTACGTTTCTGTCGTGCACCAACTTTCCAGTGCTTTAGAGATGTTATGGATCTGCTTTACATGCTCTGAGCAGATGGCCAGCCTGTGCCCAGATCAACTGCCTTGCGTGCCTGACTTGTTTAGGATACATTACACTTGCTATGTGCTTGAATTGCATGTGTGTATATTGATGATTTGTCTAGGGTTTTTGGGTATCCAGAAGTCCCAGGCAAGTGCTCAGCCATGAGCTCTGTTACCAGGGAGAGGACATGGAGACAAAACTTTTTCCTGCTTTGCCCTTGTAGTAAATTTGTCTGGTTATTGCTGTACAAAATCCTATGGAAGTAGAGCACCCTTGGAGGTGGGAATCAGCTAGACAGTGGGAGGAGCTTTTTTAACATGAGCCTCACTGGTATCTGCAAAGAGAGCTTCACAGATCTGTGGATCGTTGACAGCTTTGGAAGAGCTCCGGCACTTTTAGTTTGGCAAGGGATGGCACCAAGATGACTACAAGCTAGACCTCACATGCTGAGATTCCCTTGATACCCTTCATACAAAGTAGAGTTTTTTTGCTCCTGAAGTATTCTGTGTTGTCATAAATAGGTGATGTATAAACACCTGCTTATGAATGTGTAAAGTAATCATTGCTATCGATTCTTTTTCAGGGTATGAGCATTATAGAGCAGCTAGACCCTGTATCTTTTAGCAATTACTTGAAGAAATACCATAATACAATATGTGGAAGACATCCTATTGGAGTATTATTAAATGTAAGTAACTGATTTGTTGGAAAATGTAACTTTTAGCAAAACGCTTATCTTTGTTTTAAACACAATATTGGTGGAGTATTCCTTAGTTCTAAAATGGCAAGTCTTGAATTAATTTATTTTTCCAAGTGTTGTCAATTTGGTCTGCAATTTCGGTGTCTTGCATATAGATAAATGTAAGCTCTTACAAGGGCTGAGGGGTTTCAGTTCCCTAAAGGAGATGAGGTACTGTGTTCCTGTTGAATTTCAGTGAAATATTACAATCATTCACTTACTCTTGGCCCTAAACAAACAACCAAATAATCCATCTCCCTGAAGAAGTACATACTTAACGTTTTGAATCGGTGCTTACAAACATGTATATATTTCTTCTGTATTGCTATTAGCTAGGTATTGTGAGTGTCTTGTGATGTCTGGCAGCATTTTTGTGTTTTGCAAATATGATGAGAGATTGCCTCTAAGTATTAGTGCAGTGCTCTGTCAACTCATAAATTAATGGCCATTAGAATTCAGATTAACTGGTACTTTCCAGTTACCGTATTCTGCTTTGGTGATGCAATGCAGATATAAACCTGGCTTAACTTAGGTGTCCAAATTGGGTCACAGCTGCTTTACAGCACTGCTGGAGTGCTGCAGATTTGTCATATTGCTTGAGTGAATCTCACTATTTTTACTGTAATTCAAATCTGAAACCGGAAGCAAGTTAACCTTTTTAAAAGGGAAAACAATTCACTGGGAATGTAGTCTATATGGAGAACATAGAGGAACCTTTTAAAGTGGAGTCTCTAAAAGTTTGTATGACCAATATCAAAATTGGGAATGCATGTAGCAAAAGTCAGTGCTATGACAATTCTGCAAAAATATCCAACTCTTAAACCTCAGGTAACAATAAGTTTTGCAGTGGATCTGAGCTAAATTCTGTTCATTCACTTTTGCCAATTTTCACACTTTAATATGGTACATTTTTTTTTTTCCTTAATGGAAGAAATACGATCTAAAAAGTGTTGATAGTGTTGGGTTTTTTTCTGTTACATCTGTGTTTCTTTATAAATTCCCTATGGAACTGAAAGCATTATTGCTAAAGGATCTGTTTTGAAAGGTTGTTTAGTATTGCTTTATAGAACTGCATGGATGTATATGGGGGGCCATCAGTGAATGAAATGGCACAGAAATGGGTTGGGTCCACAAATTACTTGGGGAGTGCTTATATTATTGTGAGAGATGGTGCAAGGACCCCTGGGGGGATAGGAGAGGACTGAGATCTAGAAAATGCCGTAATTTCAGTGGTACCTGTTTTCTAAACAGCTCTTTTTCTCTCTCCAGGCTATCAACGAGCTCCAGAAGAATGGAATGAATATGAGCTTTTCGTTTTTGAATTATGCTCAGTCAAGCCAGTGTCGAAACTGGCAAGACAGCTCAGTGAGTTACGCAGCTGGAGCACTTATGGTCCACTGAACCGCTGAATGCTCAGGGATGGCACCTGCACACACTCTGTATACGGGGTCCCAGCCTAGCCCTTACAAAGATACAGTCCCTGGTCTTTGGGTATACTGAAACCTCAAACTAATAGAACTCTCTTCTTTTCTAGTAGGTGTAGTCCTTCCTTAGTTTCAACTCATTTAAAAATGCTTTCTTGTTTAGGACAATGGAAGGAAGGCTGGTATCGAAACATTTTTGTGATTATTTTTTTTTTATTTTTATTTTTATTTTAAAAAAGATAATGGCTATGACGGCATGGTGGCAGACAGTCCTTACAAATACAACATGTAAAGCATTTACCATATCCTAAATTTGCACTCTTTGCAGACCTGTGCACATGTACTCAGCTTTCAGAATAGTTTTGCAAGTTGTAAACGGAAAAAGGGGTGGAAGCTTTTTAATAAAAGAAAAAAAAGGAAGACAACGCATTTATAAATGATCCTGTATTAGAATATAATAAAACTCCAGTATAGTCAGTTACTACCCGTGATGTACAACAGATATCTTCTATTTTAGTTGCTAATAAAGGGCTACACAAACCAAAATAGTCTGATTTAAACTTATTGCTTTGTGTTCTGTATGTGGCTGCTTGTCATTAACATCTTTTATCCTCAGTTCTTACGCTTGATAATTTAGCCATTCTGTAAAATACTTTAGAATGTATTTTATATTCAACATTTGTTATGACTACTTCATTTACAGATTTTTTTATCTTAAACCTTCACTATGAGTTCAGCTGTGCAAAACAATTTTAAAAACCTTTTGTATATTCTAATTCTTTTTGCTTTACAATTATCTCTAAAATAGCCTCTTTTAGTATGTGATACAAATTTGTATCAGAAATACACTTTTAATGATTTTTATGCTCAGTTTGATTATTAAAGTGAAAGAGATACAGTATTTTTATTTGAAGTTAGTTAAACAGTAGCTTGAAAATTTATGATTCTTAGCGTATCTATCGAGCATTCATAGGCCACAGAAGCCATACAGTGCTAAGCTCAAGCAATTATTTCTCAAAGATTTAATTGAGAGGGGAAGGTAAGGCTTCTCTTTTTTTAAATTATTTTTATTTCTTTATTCTTTGACTGTGGGTAGAATTGTTTCATGTTCTTTAAACGTCATCACATCTTAAGAGTTCTTGAACTTTCCTCCAGCCAAAATAATGGTGTAATTATTTGAGTTGTCATTCCTGAAGACTTGCTTTCGTTCTAATAAGAAATGCAAAGTAGGATGGCAGTACTGGCTCATTATCTAAATGGAGATTTCATTCCCTGATACTTCACCTGCTGTCAAGCAACCTCCTGGTACATTCAGCTTTTCTGAGTGGCAGAGGGGAATTTCAGAATTCAATTTAGATTATCTTTGAAAGTTGTGGGAATTGCTGCGTGCAAAGTCTTCACCTGAGAATGTACCAGACATCTGGTTTATTCCTATTAGAGTACCCTTTTGCAAACAGGCACTGCTTGCACCACTTCTATTTTCCTTATCACAGTTGGCCACCATTTTAATAACAACAGGTGAATGCTCCATTTACAAAATGAACTACTTTGCAGATGTTCAAAATCCATCCCAAATGCCAAACTTCTTTGCATGTCTGTTCTTTTAGTTGCCTTACTGCTCTGCCTTGTTCTTGAAAAGTCTCAGCAGCAGACAGGGAAAACAACTTTCATATTACTTTTGACAGACCAGCAGAAAGGCTGCGTAGGTAAAACTGAATTGGTAGCCAGGCTTTATAAATACTTGTCTGACTGTGCCTTATTAAAAAAAGTAGGTTGATCATGAAGATTTTTTTTTTTTTTAAATCTTTGGTGAATACAAGTTTAATTAGGGCTCGGGTTTCTTTCGGTCTTATTCCAAATGCTTAACGTCATTATTGAAACACATGGTTAATTGAAACAGTTAAGTATATACTTTCTCCCTAAGGTAAACATAGTAATTAGCTTCTGAATACAAATGCCTGAGTTGCATCTTAGTTCTGTAAGACAGTTTTAATAAAAACAAAAAATAACTGGAAGAGCTTCAAGGAAATCAGTCAGCCACTTTTGCTCAGCACAATGTTATCAAATATCTTACAGTGAAAGCACTTCACATGTAAACTGTGTAATGTATTTCAAAATAAAGTTTCTAATTAAAATGGGAATTTCTGTGCCTACTAATAATAACCAGCAATGACAGTTCAGAAACCCACTCAGAAATTTAAAGTTTTGTGAAATCCGCTCTAACTTAGAAGGGCTTGTTTTAAGACCCCTGTTTGTTTGAAAGCAGAAAATACCTGACTTCAAAGAACTCTACTCTTTTTTTTTTTTTTTTTTTCTCTTTTGGTGGGGTTTGAGAGAGTTGACTTCAGTGCTCAGTTTCCTGGTGTGTAAGTTTAAAATGTGTCAGAAGGAAAAGCAAATTATTTCCTGAAAAGTTCTTCACTCAAGACTATAGTTTCATTATTTTAGCTTTACCACACGTTTTACTCTCACTTAAATATACATTTGAATATCGCATTTTGGGACAAAGAGTGCCTGGTTTAGACAATATTGAATATTCATAGTCCTGTACACTTCTGTGGAGGTTTCTTCTCTGCTTAGGATGGCTGAGCTTTGGCCACTCTTCTGGTGCAATAAATCCAGCCAGGATTTATTTTGATTATAATTTTAAAATTTTGGCATTTTAGAAAAATGTCCAATATGTGAAAATGCTGATTAAAATGCTACTTTGTTTTTCTAGTCTCGTTGTTCACAAAAGAGCTGTATGGATTTTTTTAATACCGTCTTTAAAAAGTGCTTTTAAAGTACTGTCTACTGAATTCTTAATTGATGTTTTGACACTGAAGTGGAGCAGTAGGTCTTCCACTTCTTCAGGTTAAGATCGGCAGAAGCAGGAGAAAGCTCAGGCGTGAGCAGTGTCCTGCTGCTGGGCAGTGGACACCTCTGTGGGCATCAGCAGCCACCTCTTGCCTCTAAGCGAGTCTGAGAATGCGTGTCCCCGCTCCTCAGCATGGAGCGAGGTAGATGTAGCTACTTCAACTCTCGTCCTTTTTCAGTTCAGAACGGCTGTTTGGCTTTATTTAAAAAATCCTGACTTGAGCGGCTTTGATCCGATGTTATGATTTGAACGGAACTCTTACTGCAGTGCAGTCTCCCTTCTTGGAGCCTTTGGAAATGCCAAGTTTGCCCAGGCATTTTTATGCCCAGTTCTCGCTGTTTCCCCATCATGGGCTTATTGCTGCGTCTCGGCGGTTCTGGATGTTGCTGCAGGCTTTACTCGGGAATTTCCAATTGACATTTCAAGGGCTGAAATGGGGGGGGCGGGGGTGTGCCTGTTTGATGCCTGCACAGAGAGGCTGCCGGTACTTTGGCGTGTGGTTTCTGTGGTTGGTATAGGGTTTTTCCATTTCACATTTGTCCTTTTCCCTTTATTCCCTCAGGAAAAATGCTCTCCTCTTCATCAAAGGAAGCTTTGCTTTCAAATGACATCAGTCACCATGGTTTGCAGTTGTTATTTCCTCGGGCTGACTTCAGTGTGCTAACTAGCATCTCATCCGCCCTCAAAAATTGCCCTAACTATTAAGTTCGTGGAGAAATGTTTAAAGTCCCTTGTGTAGGTGACCTTTTGCCTTCCGTGAGAAACTTTCTGAAATTAACCCTTGAAGCTAGCCTATGAAAAGATCTTCAGTGTGAAGAAAAAGTGAATCTTGGGATCCAGTTTAGTGCACCCCAAACATGCGAGATGTTTTGGTTTGGGGCCCACGGCACAGCCAGATGACCCTTTCAATAGATGGTTGCAAAACATGATTTGGAATTGGTCTGTAGGGATGAACTGATTTTATTCTTTCAGTCATGCAAAATCTATTGTCTCTATCCTAATTGTCTCTAGAGCTTTTTTTTAATGATTATTTCTTCTTGGTTTTCTTATTTGATTTTTGTCTAATTCTGAAAACAATTTGTCTGTGCATGCTGCAGACAACTTCCAGATGCCTGGTGTCATTTGGGGGTTATCTTATTCCAGTGTTAGCCAAAAACTCAGCATTGGCTTCTTCCTGTCGTGTCTGGTACCTCTTCAGTATGTGCAGTCTCTAATGCCAGGGTCTGAGACATCACTCCCATTGCTTGTACCCCAGGAATGAAAATGCCATGGTAGTGAGATCTCTAAATTAAGAAAGAGATGATGTCAGTTTGTTTGCTTGTGTTTTTTGGTTTTGGTTGGTTGGGGTGAGGTTGGTAGAGGCTTGGATCTTTTTGTAAAGGGCAGAGAAATGAGGAAAGTGGGCATAGATGGGGAAGAAAATGGTTGCTTTTCCAATTTAATGTCAGCAGCTGTTCTGCTATCCTGTTTGGGAGTTGACGTGCCGCAAAATATCGCCCAGCACAGCTGTGGGCTGGATGCAGTGGTGGGCAGCCCGAAGAGAGAAATGTTGGAGGTATTTTGTCAAGCGTAGCTCCATTTGTTGAAGCTCAAGGGTGAGAATCCTGGGCTGATAGCTTTAAGTTACAGGTAGTGACAGATGGACCCTCACACACCTCAGGTTTCTAAGGCAATATGTTTGGTTCTGAGTGGATTTAAGAGAAGCAAATAATTATTTCAGCCCTGGAATGTCCATTGGCATTAATGTAAATATGTATTCCCTAGAAACAGCTCTATATACCTTTTTCAAAGCTTGTGAAACCAAAATTATTTAATTTCTGTTTTCAAACAAAAAATATATCCTAATTCAAGTAGTTGTATTTGAATCCCATTAGAGAGTTATCCAGGGCCTCAAATCTGCTGTGAGTGAAGCTGGTAATGAAACTTTAGAATTCAGTGATATAGTATCTGCTCTGTATATGACAAAGACCTACATGACAAGAGGAATAAAACATTGTGTTAAGCACTAAACTAGGAACTCTCTGAGCCTAAACTTCTCAGATTTCTTTTTTTCTCTAGTGAACTTTAAAACGGTGAGAAATGACTTGCCTCAGCCTGTGACTGCAGCTTCACATGACGGAAAACAGCACTGCTCTGGGGTGAAGTCCCTTCTGTGGTGAAAGGAGTTTATTATATTTTTTTCTGCTGAGCTCTTGCAGCACAAAGTGGAGTATGAGCATCTTGGGGCCCAGGCCTGGGCCGCAGAGGCTTGACGGAGCCGCTGGGCTGTGCGGGCAGGTAGGGACAGGTGTCCCCTAGGATGTGTCAGCTGATGCTTACATACTTAAATGACTTCCCATTTGTCTCTAGGAATTGTTACAAAGATTTGAAGATTGAGCCTTTAAGCTCAGCTGTGATGAATCAGTGTTGAGCTCGTGCATATATTTTTGTGATTAAAATCTCTTTTCCTTTATGGTCGCAGCCCAATGAGCCGGCGTTACAAACAACCTGGCGGTAAGATGCCTGCTGTCAGTGGCTAGTCTGGAAACGCTGACTGGCAACACAACTGTTTTCAGTGAAAAATCCCACTTTCTGCATTGTGAGAAATGGTTTTCTGTTTGCAGAGCTGAGACGTAACCAAACGCTGCTTTCAAGCCCTTCGGAAATAAACGGACTTGGTTATTGTATGTAAGCACTGAGCTTTGGTGAG